AATTATGTAACTTCTTTAACATTAAAATACTATAAATTAAGTTTTGATATGTTGGGATAAGTTATGAATGAGAATGACCACAATTCCACATTATTCCACATTCGAGAACATAAACCAAACAAAATATTACCGAAATTTATCATAAAGTATTAATTAGAAAATCTCAAACAAAATTGAATGACAATTGATAAAATAACACGCTAAACATTTTATCTATGGTACCTCTTCCTGTATATAGCCCTAGAAACTCTAGAAGAGTAAATAGGAATACAATTAAACAAGTAACAAAAAATAAAAAACAACAGTCTCTTCGAAATGTTAACACCTTATAGTAATGAGTTTGATATGCATCGTAAGTCTTTTCGAAACGATATATAATGATTCCAAATCAAACACTGAAGCTCATATTATCTATAAAGCGTTATTCTTGCTGCTCGATTTGCACCTTTTGGCTTGATTTTCTGTCTCTTCCGCAATCTAATTTACCTCAGTCCCTCCCATATAGAGGAGTCCTCTCCTACACTTGTGAGACTCAATTATTTAGTTGACCAAACTCATGTGTAACTTCTCCATTATTATAATAAAAATGCCTGCCAACTTCATGGACCAAATTAAGGTTGAACCGGATAAATGCATTGCGTTGCGTATCCTGGTCAGTATCTAATCGCCGCCTTCCGTGTCTTAAATATCTGTATATTTCAGCTGTATCTTTGTTCAAAAACCAACCAATTAGGAATCATGAGAACTGAAGAAATAAAATTCGCACAACGAGGGAAGTGACAGATGTCAAAAATTTGGCACCCAACAATATTTTCAGGTGCCTACCGCGCATCTATATAAGAAGGAATCGGAGTCCTCCTATATCAAGATCCATCCATTGTGCTTAAGGAGTTATTGGAAACAGCTTCAAAACCAACGGAAATATTTTGGTCTGAGGTAAATATCGTCTCTTGTTTATGATATATATGCATGCTTTAAAATAACTTACCGTTAACGATGAGTCATCTGTGAGCATTGTGAAATGTTCTCAACTAAATCATGGCCAGGGATTTCATTACTTGTTCTCCAAATTTCAATTATTTTTTTTTACAATAACTAGATATTATCAATAAGCATGTTATTATTTCTACATAAAAAACAAACTGGCATGAGACTAACCTTTTTTTTTGTATATATTTTATTTTCAGGATAGAAAGACGTAATATGGAGAAATCAACAACGGCTGCTATATTATTGCTCTTGTACTTTTTTGGGTTCTGCCCTCAACCAGGGGTTCCCTCATTCGCCAATCCATCTGATGACCTTGGTAAATATAGTATGAAAGTCTCATTGGTTTTTCAAAGTAACTTACATGACAAATAAATTTAATAAAAAGCAGTTCTCCTTATACAAACTTTTTCCTCATCTCTTTTGTTCATATAATGCAGATTTTAGCTACGTGAAATTTGTACGTAACGCAACTGATCTACCATTACAAGAAGAATATGACTACATTGTTGTGGGAGGGGGCACGGCAGGGTGCCCGTTGGCAACAACTTTATCTGCAAACTACTCCGTGCTCCTTCTAGAAAGGGGTAATATTCCATCAGCATATCCAAATGTGTTGCGTGCCAATGGGACTCTTGCAAATTTCATGCAAGAAGATGACGGTAAGACGCCGGCCCAGAGGTTCACATCAGAAGATGGTGTAGCTAATCTAAGAGGACGGATCCTAGGCGGGTCAAGTATGATCAATATTGGTTTTTACTCAAGAGCCGACGGTGAATTCTACCAGAAATCAGGAATTAAATTGGACATGAACTTAGTCAATAATTCATATGAATGGGTTGAAAACACTGTAGCATTCCGTCCGAATGTAACACACTGGCAGTCTGTTGTGAAAGATGCAATGTTAGAAGCTGGTGTTCGTCCAGACAATGGACTGACTTTGGATCACATTCTGGGAAGTAAAGTCTCGGCTACGCTCTTTGACGATCGTGGAAAAAGACATGGAGCTGTGGAACACCTAAATAAAGCACATCCAAAAAACCTGAGAGTTGCAATTCTTGCCACAGTAGAGAGGATCATTTTCTCTTCCAAAGCATCAGGTATCCAAACACATTTGATATATACAATTATAGGTCATTTAAATTTGAAGATAGTTGAGCTTCAAACGTAAAACCAATTGACAATACGGGGAGTGATCCAAGTTACTTATAAGCCTATGCAAGGTTCATCATTCCATTAATATAGCATTCATTCTCAACAAAATTTCCATAAACCAAAATTGAATCTATCATGGCTTTAAAAAGAGAGAATCTTTGATATATTTGAAGGATTTGAATCTATTCTGTTTACTTGTAAATTAAATATATGTCCAATTCTAATATCGATTTTATGTAGGTTTGTCGGCTAAAGGAATCATATACAGTGATTCTAACGGGAGGTCTCATCGGGCATTGATACGTGGTAAGGGTGAGGTTATATTGAGTGCAGGTGCAATTGGAAGTCCTCAACTTCTACTACTTAGTGGTGTTGGCCCAAAATCTTACCTTTCATCTCGTAAAATCCCAGTTGTTCACCCACAACCTTACGTTGGGCAGTTTATGCGTGATAATCCTCGTAATTACATTACCATTTTGCCCCCGTTTCAAGTAGAAGCTTCTACTGTACAGGTTGTCGGTATCACTAGTGATTATTACATAGAGACTTTCTCCGGCTTGCCATTTTCTAGACAGGCCTTTAGTCTTTTCCCCAGTCCAACTATTCCCATGACCATAAATTCAAGTTTCGGGCACATTATGGTCAAATTTCCAGGACCCTTGTCCTATGGTTCTCTTGAACTGCAATCATCCTATGATGTCAAAGTTGCTCCAAATGTCAAATTCAACTACTTTGCACAGGAGGCAGACCTTTCTCATTGTGTTAGTGCCGTGAGGAAAATAGGTGATTTATTAAAAACAAACTCATTGAAACCGTATAAGGCTCAAGATTTGCCCGGTGTAGAAGGTTTCAACCTTTTTGGACCACCTTTACCAGTGAACCAGTCAGACGATGCATCTTTTGAAACCTTTTGTCGAGATACAGTAGCCACATTTTGGCACTACCATGGTGGATGCCTGGTCGGAAAGGTAGTTGATGAAGATTTGCGGGTCATGGGGATCAAGGCATTACGTGTTGTTGATGGATCTGTATTCAATGTATTATCACCAGGGACCAATCCTCAAGCCACTCTTATGATGTTGGGCAGGTATGCATGTTACATGTGCATTTAAGTACACAACCACAAGAAATTACATGTACATAATACAACTAAGTAAATATTTAACTAAGTCCTTAAATTGGTTTTTTTATTTATTTGTGTAAGAATATATAGTTGTTCTTTTCCCACGCCAAATTTTGTTCTTTGGGCAGGTATTTTGGCGTTCAAATGCTGGAAGAAAGATCAGAGTGACATGTTTCTTCGAGATTATATTCAATTTGTCATGCAATGGATTGAAGATTATTCAACAAGCTTTAGCGTTATGGTGTTTTTACTTAAGATAAATAAGGTCATGATGTAACTCAAGACTCAAGTGGTAGGACGGAAAGAATAATTGAAAATCGAAGCTCCACATTAGTTGTATCATTTGTTTTTTCTTTTAGAATTGTAATTGAAATGGTAGATGTAGAGTGTATTCACCATGTATGGTGTATTCAATACAATGTGGAGTGTGAATAAAAAAACCCTTTTGGAAATATGTATCCGATATGAACTGAAGTTTTGGAATAAAACTTTATTTCAATTTCATCCATCAAAAACTCACCCCAACTTTAAGTCAAAAACATGTCCCACTATTCATTGTATTATCAACTTACCTATTTCGACTCAAACTTTGAGCTAGAGGTGCTCAATTGGGTGAAATTTTTTAATTGCCCTACTTTGAAGTCCAATTGTGGCAGTCAAGGGGTTGGTTTAATTTTGGACATGGTTTGTTTTTGTGGATGGAATTTGTGGCTTCATCTTATAAAGTTTATCATTTTTTCTCTAACAGAATGTGAGAGATTATGTACCTTAATGTACCTTGAAAAAAACAAAAAAAAAGTACCTTAATGTACCTTACCGTGCACTCTCCAACAAATACACTTAGAAGTGTATAATAATTTTTCAAAGTGTCAATGACGTCACCTTAAGACAACCCTAAATAATTTAGAGAACATCCAGCTTACCCAAACTAATCACATGGTCCACAATCTCCACATAAAGTTTCAGCATGTGTCTACCAAAACTGTACACATTTCAACAGTTATATCTATCATAACTATATGTAATTTCAGCAGGTACCTACCGAAGCTGTGCGTATTTTCAGTAGGCTCTAACCTTAGAGTACGTGAATCCGTGACAAATGAAAGGATTCAATATTTTACCACGTATCCACTGAAATAACTTAGGGGTGTGCTATCCACACACCCCTTTTTACTTCTCCCACACCCCTTGTTAATTTCTGTTCTTTGATCTTCTTCAATTTATCCGATCCGACGGCCGAAAATCAAGGTTTAGGGTTTTCCAAGCATTTGACGCCGTTCAAATTGATGCGAAATTTATAAAAATAAAATAAAAAAAGTAGTCATATTATGCAAAATTAAGAAAAATGTAATCATACTTCATGCGCAGCATCCAAACAACGATTTCAAATATTTCATTCGTAAAAAATAACCTTTTTGTTTATCAATGTGTTTTCTTGCAGTCCCCATCTCCCACATTGATGACAAGTGAAGATGTGTCGTGGAGCCTATCTATATCAGTGAAATTAATTAACAGGGAATTAAGAGTATAACTATTAGTGGCACCGGTTAAACTAAATTATGATACAGGAGAAAACATGAGGAATTGATCGAAATCAAATCTACCGTCAGCATATCTCTATCAGTGAAGTGATGAGTGGTCTTCAGAAAAACATCTGTGTGTTTGGCATGTAGGAAAACGATCAACATGAACTGCCTAAACTATGGTAATTCTGAAGAAACCATGGGGTGCGCCTAGGTGTGTGTAGGGGTTGTGTGTGTTCACGAGAACTTCATAGAAATTAGAAAAGATGTTGTCAACTATATACTTCCATCCAAATTCCTCCAGCTAGCCCTTCCAAATTCAGTGATGTGAAACACGTATGATCAAACAAAACAAGTAACAAGAGAATGTACAACCAGAATAATTTACGAAATGTACGGACCGTCAGCTTCTTTTCCGTTTCTGGAGTTCAAACTGCTTCAGTAAAGCTGAGATACCCTCCTTCAGTGAGGCCCTCCTCTTTTGCTCAAAGTTCCATAATTCTGGTATTGCGTACCTACCACTGGGATTATACTCATTCAATTCCAGCAAGGCAGTTGTCACAGCATTGTAAACATGAACACCGTACTCATGCTTTAAATTTTTCAGTTTGTCATCTTTCTCATCAATAGTTTGCTGTATGGTTAAAACAAACATAATCCAGTTACAAGGGCATGACAAATCAATTGAGTACAACAAAATTAGAGCATGATAATGATGGGCCAAAAGAACGGCAATCAAAATGTGAATAGACTGTACACTACACCACTGCCAATGTCATATAAATGGAGCCTGACTCAACACACAGAACAAGCTCCTTGTTATACAAAACCTAGCCAGTGCGAGCTTCAGAAGCCTAAACCTTCAAGATGAAAGGCTATAGGAGGCATACATGAAGATGCAAATTCACAGGACTAAACCTAAACCTTGAAGAAGAAAGGCCATAGTAAATATGAAAATGCCAATTCATGGGACCGGTCGCGCTTAGATATATCCTGAACAAAAACTGGATATGGAACAATAACATGGATAACTTTTTTAAGTGAAACCACATGCACTCATGAGAAGTACAAGCTGGTGTAATAGGAGCAACAATCAATTGTATTCTATGGATGCTTGATAGTGCTTTACAAGTTAAAATACTTGCCTTCGCAACTCCAGAAGGATCCATGCTCATCTTGAATGGATACCAGCTTGAATCTGCAAGATAATCCTCCCACAAAGAGCACAGCATTGCTGCCTGGTCATCTGCTGCTTCGTCCGTTGGATATTTTCTCTTGCATGCAGTTTGAAATGGTTCACAATCCAGATCACCCATTCTCTTCACGCCAATAACAGCAGGACTTGTTGATTCCCATCCCTGCAAAGTAATCCCACCAAACGACAAGAGAAAATCACATTCACAAGCAAGAACAATGATTGCCAATTGAATTTAAAAAAAATAAAATAAAATAAAACTGTAGCTAAAAATTTATGGATTCTCCAACCAATTGTACAGAGTATTCAAAAGATCAAACCAGAAAAGAAGCATGTTATAATGAGAATTGCATGTTGCACAGTGTAAATAAATCCTCTATCTGGTGGTCTTTAGACCCTACCGCATGATCTTTCAAACAACACAAGTGCTAATATATATACAGGCGATGTAGCAACACTTAAAGTCCAATGCCATTCACTACTACAATACAAGCTATCCCCGGCAGAGCTAAAACCGACAAGACATCCAATTTATGTCGGTAATTTGGCAAAAATCCGACATAAAACAATGTAATGTCGGATTGCAATAGCGACACTAATGCTCGCGTCACAAAAGAGCTTCAGTGTCGGTTTGTACGCTTAATCCGCCACTACTCAGCGTCGGTTAAAAGCGACACTGAAGCTGACGTCGATTTAAAGCGACGTATAATTCAACCTAGTGTCGGTTCAAAGCGACATAAACTAATAAAATAAACTATATAATATCCAACCTAGTGTCGGTTTTATCCGACATCATGATAAAATAAACTATTTGAATATCCTTAAATCGACGTCCGATAACAATTAATAAAATAAAATATTCAAACTAGTGACGCTCTTAACCGACACTACCTTTGTTAATAATAATAAAAAAAAAATTGAGAATCTGCACTTGTTTCCAATTAATTGTAACTAAAAAAAACTATATAACCAAAATAATAAATTTAAGTATAGGCCAAATCAAACATTAATAAAAATAATTAACAAGAAAAATAGTGCCAAAATATACGAATATTTTTTATTTAACATTCCACATAATATACAAAAATTCATCCATACAAATAGTGCCAAAATTTACAATCCGTACAAATTCTTGCCGCACTCTTACAAAAGATTTGATTCCAGTAGTATGGTTCATTGTTTTCTTTTGCCTATTAATCTTTTTTTTTTTTTCAGCAACCTCCTGAAAAAAAAACAGAAATTTTTAGACAAATTTAAAGTGATAATGAAATAAATCATAACGATTACCTTTGTTTTTTCTCTATTCCAGTAAGCCACCAATGCAACCCATTGTGCAGGATTCACTTCGCAAGGAGGGTGGCTGCGCACCTCCGCTGCTCTGTTAGTATAAAACTTTTTTTTTAACTTATTTCTAAACTCTTTGTGCGCATGCTCCGCAACCTTAAGCGTCATATGGCGGATCATAGACATTTTTACTATATCTGCATCTTCAAAAAAAATATTTCCCTACATCCATAAAAAAAAAAAAAAACCAAGCTAACCAATTATTATTATTATCATTGACTTGTTCTTCTATTTTCAAGTAAAAATAAAAATATCTATACCTTTATTCTATTTCAGAAAACTTCCTTATCTTCTTCCTTAATCTTACGCCAATCACTCACCAACGGAATATTTCTGTGGTCTCTAACCTCCCTGCTACATATTTTGCAAAAGTACTAGAATTGTCACTAATGCATTTGCCGGAAGAATCAAACGAACAAAGTTGTTTCGTCCATTTGGGAATTGAGGATCCGCGCCTCCATTGAGATGTTCCTTATTAATAAAAAAAAAAAACAATTAAAAACCAGGAAAGTAAAGTAAATTTTCAGTTTAAGCATAATATAAGTTTAAACACAAAACAAAAACTGAATTTAATAATAATTCAAAAAAGTACTGGCTTCGAACTCCTCATCTTCCAAATGATGTTCGTTAGAGCGTTGATCTCACTAGAATTATCCATAGCACAAGTTAGTGGAAGGAGCAGGAGTATGGAAGAAATGGGGGAAGGAGTAAGGCTGAAATGGGAGAAGGAGAGGGAGTAAACGAGACAGAAATGAGAGACAGAAATGGAAGCACGGAAGTAATGGGAAAGAAGGGGGTTTGAATATGGATTAAAACTTAGCGTCGAAATATGAACACGTTACGTCGGTCAAAACCGACACTATCTCTGACAAACTGACAAATTTGTCAATAGCGTCGGAATAATTGAACATTGCGTCGGAATAATTGTCAGTAGCGTCGGAATAATTTAACTTTGCGTCGATTTAAACCGACACTATCTTTGACACGACCTACATACAAGCAGCCTGACACACTTTTGACTAAAAGGTCGTGGCGTCGGAGTAGGGACATCTTTGCGTCGAAATAAGAAATCGTTGCGTCGGTTAAAACCAACGCAAGGTCTAACACACTAAAATATTTCAAACATTTCAAACATTCATTCCCGTCTAAAACATTTCAAACATTCATTCCCGCCTAAAATATTTCAAGTTATCTCATATAATATTTTAATACATAATATTTAATACATAATAAAAAACAATAATATAATTATATGATAAAACAATAATATATTTTTATGATAAAATATCATCACACATGAATTGAAATATAGTCTAATTGATATTTAAAATACATAAAATATCAAGTTTGTTTTTTGTGATTTTTTGCTGATGTGATCTCGAAGCATATGCAAACAAGTTTGACGGTTGGGATCATTGAAATTTGTTTCAAAGAATTTGTATCCCATCAAAACAATAGATTGACTAACACTTAGAGTTTATTTATACTTTCATTAAGTATAACATAAGATTTTGTGGTATCCACTTGTGTAAATATTTTAAATTGAAGATCGAATTCATTCATTGTATTCATATAGGGTCAAGGAGTGTAGCTGTAAAAAATCATCAAAATCGGAGTTAAAATAACTGTTAAATCGTGATTTTTCGTTTATAACCGTCGAAAAGCTTTGTCCCGTTACTTGATCTCTGAATGTTTGTTTTTTGTGATTTTTTGCTGATGTGATCTTGAAGCATATACAAACAAGTTTGACGGTTGGGATCGTTGAAATTTGTTTCGGAGAATTCGTATCCCATCAAAACAATAGATTGACTAACACTTAGAGTTTATTTATACTTTCATTAAGTATAACATAAGATTTTGTGGTATCCACTTGTGTAAATATTTTAAATTGAAGATCGAATTCATTCATTGTATTCATATAGGGTCAAGGAGTGTAGCTGTAAAAAATCATCAAAATCAGAGTTAAAATAACCGTTAAATCGTGATTTTTCGTTTATAACCGTCGAAAAGCTTTGTCCCGTTACTTGATCTCTGAATGTTTGTTTTTTGTGATTTTTTGTTGATGTGATCTCGAAGCATATACAAACAAGTTTGACGGTTGGGATCGTTGAAATTTGTTTCGGAGAATTCGTATCCCATCAAAACAATAGATTGACTAACACTTAGAGTTTATTTATACTTTCATTAAGTATAACATAAGATTTTATGGTATCCACTTGTGTAAATATTTTAAATTGAAGATTGAATTCATTCATTGTATTCATATAGGGTCAAGGAGTGTAGCTGTAAAAAAATCATCAAAATCGGAGTTAAAATAACCGTTAAATCGTGATTTTTCGTTTATAACCGTCGAAAAGCTTTGTTCCGTTACTTGATCTCTGAATGTTTGTTTTTTGTGATTTTTTTTCCTGATGTGATCTCGAAGCATATACAAACAAGTTTGACGGTTGGGATCGTTGAAATTTGTTTCGGAGAATTCGTATCCCATCAAAACAATAGATTGACTAACACTTAGAGTTTATTTATACTTTCATTAAGTATAACATAAGATTTTGTGGTATCCACTTGTGTAAATATTTTAAATTGAAGCTCGAATTCATTCATTGTATTCATATAGGGTCAAGGAGTGTAGCTGTAAAAAATCATCAAAATCGGAGTTAAAATAACCGTTAAATCGTGATTTTTCGTTTATAACCGTCGAAAAGCTTTGTCCCGTTACTTGATCTCTGAATGTTTGTTTTTTGTGATTTTTTGTTGATGTGATCTCGAAGCATATACAAACAAGTTTGACAGTTGGGATCGTTGAAATTTGTTTCGGAGAATTCGTATCCCATCAAAACAATAGATTGACTAACACTTAAAGTTTATTTATACTTTCATTAAGTATAACATAAGATTTTGTGGTATCCACTCGTGTAAATATTTTAAATTGAGGATCGAATTCATTCATTGTATTGATATAGGGTCAATGAGTGTAGCTGTAAAAAATCATCAAAATCGAAGTTAAAATAACCGTTAAATCGTGATTTTTCGTTTATAACTGTCGAAATTAGTTTCATAGAATTCGTATCCAATCAAGTTCAATTGTGTGTGTATATATATATATATATTAAGTAGATTTAAATTTATTTATTTTGTATGTATAACACTTAAGAAATTGAATCGTATGTATATTTAAGCCAATCCAATGATCACCAATTTTTAAAAATTTAATTTAATATATATATATATATATATAATTATTATAGTTTTTAGGGATATAAAATTTAATTTAATATATATATATATATATATATATAATGTTCAGTTAGTGTCGTAACGGCCTAATCCGCCACTATGTTAGATTAAAGCGACACCACCCACCGACACTATAACACCCTTTTGTAGTAGTGATTGTATACCAAAATTTCAGAAACTTAAGAATATGGTCAATGGGATCTGACATTGGACCTGCATAATGTAAACATCTAAATAATACAAAAAGAAATTATCAACAACAGATGCAGATAAGATTAATGCAGAATGATTTGTCTTTGATGAAAAGTTTTCTATTTTAGAGTTAAATTTTTTACTAATTTAAATTCAATGTAGATACCTATCCAAAATATTTTTTTGACAGATTGAATAATTGTATTTAAAATTAGTAGAATGAATAAAATACATGCACAGAAATTGAAGACCCTTAGCATACATACATTGATTAACTCCTTACGAGCCTCCTGTAATTCATCATTACTCATGCGCTCCTTTATAGCAAGTGTAGTGTTAAGAGCTTCAGCATTATCCAACTCCTCTTTCATATGTTCTAACTTTTCTTGAATGTTATCCATCACATGCCCATCCTCATCATCCTGATCGTGCTCCATTGGCTCCTGCTTGACATCCTTAACACAAAATTGATCCTTATATTGAAAACAAAACTTTTCCAACACCTCGATTTTCCTATAAAGTAGCACAATTTCTTCCTGCCATTGTCAGTCAATCACAAAACGGACATTTCAAAACTCATTTGTTTATGATTAATTTGAAACATTTCTCCTAGGCTTAATAATAGATTGAAAACAAACCGTTTGTGCAAAAATTGTCTCATCAGCCTCCCTATTGGTAAGCTTCTTATGCTGAAAGAAAAAGGTACAGAATTAGCTCATGTTAAATAATGTCTTAGACGGTCATATTCTGGCCAGTCGATTAGCCAACGACAGAAATAAGTAATTTAAGCATACCTTTTTTTTTAATTGCACGTCACGCTGGTCAAGATTTTTCTGAAGCTTTTGCTTCTGAACTTCGCTTTGATTACGATTCTTCTGAAGTTCTTTGTTCTGGACTTCACTTTGCTCAAACTTTTTCTGATGCTCTTTCTTATCAGCTTTACTCTTTTTCTGCTTTATCTGGAGCTCTTTCTTCTCCGCTTCGCTCTCCTCGTGCGTTTTCTGAAGCCCTTCACTTTGGTCAAGCTTTTTCTGAAGTTCTTTCTTCTCAACTTCACTCCTTTCATGCTTTATCCGGAGCTCTTCCTTCTCCGCTTCGCTCTGCTCGTCCTTTTTCTGAAACTCATTCTTCTGAGCTTCGCCACATTCTAGATTTTTATGCAGCTCTTTCATTTGTGCTGCATTCTGCACAAGCATATCCTCAAACTCCTTTGTTTTACGTTCAAGCTCTTCCTTCTCCGCTTCGCTCTGCTCGTGCTTTCTCTGAAGCTCATTCTTCTGAGCTTCGCCATGCTCTAGCTTTTTCTGCAGCTCTTTCATTTGTGCTGCATTCTGCACAAGCATATACTCAAACTCCTTTTTTTTACGTTCACTCAACTCGAGCTCGTTCTTAAGACCAAACACTTCAGTTTGAAATTTTGACAAGGCTTCCTTCTGCTCGAAGAATAGCTTCTCGATGTGGTCAAGAACATTTTGTTGCAATTTTCCTATTTAACATGGAATAAAAAATTCAAAATTCAGCTAATCTTGCAGCCCTTTTCAAAGGCAAAGACAACATGCATGGAGCATCTTGAAGTTTGATCATACTCACCAATATCCATTTCTTCTAAACTGTGAGACATTTCCAATTCAAAACTACAATAAATAGAAGAAACAGATGTTAGAGATTCGAAGAAAACCAAATTTAGATGGAAACAAGGTATACAAAGAACAAGCCCCCAAACTATATCAGCACAATATATATTCCACTTTCTTTTTTCTGATTTCTTCTTAGAAACCAATGCATTTCATTTTTATGAACAATAACAAAAAACATAATGACTGTTCATGCAGATAAGATAATCCTCACCCCCCTTATTGAGTCCTCCGCAAAAAACTCCGTTCCTTTGAGTTCAGGAAGATGAAAAGATAAACTTGAAAACCTAAAAAGAAAAAGAGAACATAATGACTGTTTATGGACTATTTTTGTTCTGATCATGTGGTGCATGAAAGGCACGCGTCCGATTGGTAATTAAATAAAGAGACCGTGGCAAGGGTAGGGCAAGAGTCAAGCTATTTGTTTTTCTTTAAAGGAGAAAAGGGGAGTCATTGGTATGGGGAATATGGCTTAATTGAGTTTGAAAATTTGAATGAGTTAAGTTATTTTGGAAGATGTAGGTATATTAACTTGTGAATTCTTATAAATATTGTATTAGAAAGGTACTTTGATCCAGGCTCAAAAAATTCAGCTCTTTTTGAATTGGATCCAATTTTATTTGATTTTCTATTACACCTGTTTTTCCCCTTGAAAATAATTTTTTTTTAATTCTTTAAATTTGAATTTTTAAAATTTGAATCTTGAAATACCTTTATCTACCCGTTTTCTAATTAAAACATTTTAAAAACACATTATTACAAATCTTACAAGTTTATCAAAAATTAAAAGAAACATTGCCAGAGGTAGATAAAAAATAAAATAAAAAATTTGTGATGTAGGTAGATGATATTAATTAATCTATAATAGAGGTAGACTATGAACAAAAACATATTGTATAGATAGATAATACAAAATAATCTGTGATACAGATAGATTACAAACAAAAACCTATTGTATAGGTAGATAACACAATTAATTTGTCATATAGGAATACAATTAATCTATAGTATAGGTAGAATAAGAAAAATATAGAGATAGATTCATAAAAGAAATATATAATACGGGTAGATAAACAAAGCAAACAAAAAGTGCATAATTTCCTCTAAAGTTTTCACTTAGAAAAAAAAAAATATGTATAATCCAAGTTCAAACTAAAACTTAGGAAGAAATTAATAGTGCACGCATGAAACTTATATTTTCATGGCAATACTTCAAAGCTCTATACCACTGCAAAGAAAGTAGAAATTGTGATCTTGTATTTCAAAAAAGAGGAAGAAATCATAGGAGCTTGAAAGAAGAAAGAAGAAGATTGAAGAAGAAGGAAGGGGAGGAGAACACGGCACAAATTGTATACGGCAGTTATGGAAGAAGAGATATGCTTTAAAACTAATTCTACAAGTAGGGGATTATTTTAAGGATAAATAATCAATTATAATTAATTTCACAATACAAGTAAGTATAAAATTAAGTAATAATATTAATTATTTTACTAATCATTAAGGGGTAGTTTTGGCAAAAACATAACAATAAACTGATGTGGACAATGAGTTATCGGATCTAATCCAATAATTAAATAAAATTCAACTATACCCAATAATAATTGTTCACAAAATTGGACTTGTTTCAAGTTTCCCCAAAAAAATATATATTTCTTTGTGCAATTGAAGTGAGTGTTTCGTCGCCCTTGGTTGAGCAATTCCTAGACCTATCTCCCGTTCGTTTCATTTACCATTAGTTCGTCATATCAATTTGTTTTCTCACCCTATCGCGTATGGATAATGCTAGGAAGACCAAAATTTTAAACTAAATTTGCAAATCAAATGATATGTCACCAATAGTAAATAAGCACATTAATAAAAAATTAAATAATAATTCAATTGTCAACATCCACATCATTTGATTTATAAAATTTAGTTTAAAATTGTCTTCCTAGCATTTCCCATCGTGTAAATATGTCGTATAAAAAAAAGGTAGAAGCTAAACACAAAATATTCTGAACAATTGTGCATTTTTTGCCAAGCTAGTTGAAGAGTGCATTTTGCTTGCATCCAACAGCAACTAATGTGCTCTACCGTTTTAACGGCCCGCGAGCATTATCACCACATGGATTAATGTTCGATGAATGTGATTTAATCTAACTGCTATACAAGTCTCGAAATTTAAACACATTCGATGACAATCATTTTTTTTTTCTCGGATATTATATATTCATATAATCATAAGCATATGGAAACAGTTTCCTCAACCTCCCATCTAGAAATCAGTCTATATTCTTTGATCAAAAGACAAAATTGGTATAGTGATAGGGACTAGGTGATATTGCTCCAATATTCATGAAAGAGGAAAACAATGGAATTTAATTCAATCATATCATAAGGGTTAGTAACTATAATTTCGTAAAATAGTAGTTACATAGGTAGAAATTCAATAGTTGGAGAAACACCAAGGCTTGTTCGGGACATTGGTTGCTAGATTGATGAGGTTTTAAACAGATACAAATCTAACATCTTATGTTTGAGACCCTGCACAAAATTATATATATGTTCCAAAGCTACCCGCAACTAATATAGTTACATCTGATGCTAAAAGAAAATTCTTAATTTTAAATCTATTCAGAACATATACGCAATAGAAAAGAGCATTTAGAGTCTTGATAATTATTTACCAATTTCAACATTTAGAGTCTTGACAGCTACCGAAGCTCTTTAAGCTTGCTCCACTCAAGATTTCCTACAAAGAGTATTGAGAAAAGTAAACCTACGTATACAGCAAGATGTCGTAATTGATTGATAAATATACCAATTTTACTCCGCCTGTGTAAGTTTATCTTCCATTGCCGGTCCCAAGCCCGGATAAAAGAGGAGGGGGAGGGCGTCAGGTAGTCGACAGCCGGCACTCCTCGGTTACGTCGAATCCTTATGAAAATGAATTCAGAACGAAATCGCGCTAAAACTAGGGCGTCACTCGTAAGTGGCGCGCTGTGTGGCCCGAGCACAGTGATAAGTGAGCATGGGTCGCTGTGACACAAAACCGAGCGCAATGGCGTTCTAGGATTCATATAGCCGACCCCACTTAGTGGGAAAAGGCTTTGTTGTTGTTGTTGTTGTTGTATAGAGTCTTGATAATTATTTACCAATTTCAACATTTTCCTTTGAACATGGTAAATTTGACGTGCAACTAAACACAAGCATAAGTACCGATTCCACATTACCAAATATCGTACCATCCAGTTCATAACGAAAATTTATGTAGGAACTTGTTCTAGCAAGTCAAATATAGAAAATTTTCCAATTCAAGGTAGTACAACAAATTTTAGGTTTCATATCATTTTTCGTCAATTGCCCAATTCAAGGTAGTACAAGAAGTTTTAGGTTTCATATCATCCTTCCTCAATTTCTAGTTCTATGATGCATAATGATTTGGCTTTTAGATAGATGTGTTTTCATATCTGTGTGAATTGTGCTTTGATCTTTTTTTCTTTCAGGAGAAATGGTGACTACAAACTTCCTTTCCTCATTCTAGATGCTGAGGGGACCTGCTAGTCAAACAACATGGAGAATGTTTCCAAGAGCAAAGGAATTCAAATATATTTGTTGCATTTTTTAATCTCTTTTCATGGTTATTTACTTCCCTTTCGTTTCATTTCGAGATATTTTCAATGCTACTTCAGTGTTTGCCATTGAATAAGTTTCGTCCAAATTTGGTAACTTTTTAAGTAAACCCGTTCATGTACTCTGCTCGGGCTTATGGCTGTTAGAACAAAAGTCAAAAGTAAAAAGGTGTAGTACTCCTGCAATTGGAAATGTTGTATCTTCAATGTTTGACATCAAGATCTATTTGTCGTGAATTAGGATGAGTACATACATGAATCTATGCAGTTTTAGACTTTGGTAAATTTAGCCAAACGTTTTTGAAAAGTAAGAAGTTAATCGAAGTTCTGTGTATTTGAAAATGTTAAAGTAAAATATTTTGGCTTCGGTATATCATGAGATACAAGAAAAACATCTAACAAATGAATGTTGTTATTTATTACATATTGGTGTAGACAGAATCGCTATAGTTTTAAAAGTTATCGGTTTCAAAATGTATTATTACATAAAAAAATGACAAGTCGATAGCTAAACTACCGGATAAGGGAGTTTGAACTCGAATGCGCAAGTGAGAGCATAATATCCTAACCAAAAGGCCTAAGCGCGTCTGCTATTTATTATATAAATTCTTTTCTTATAACGATATTCTAAACAACTCAAATCTACGCGCAAGAAGATTTGTACCACTAATCAGCTATTTATGATTTAAAACTAACAAGCAAAACATCTGCAAGGGTAGATGTGTCAAGATGTGTGTGGAATCTGTGGATTAGACTTAAATAAAACCCACCAAAAAACTGATCAGTCAGGACTCTACCATTCATTTTACTTTTGTTTGCCCCCAAATTTTCCCAGCAACCAAACAGTCCATTTCAAATTGCAAACAACAAAAAAAGCAGAATCACAAAGATCAATACACGAAATCATAAATTTCTCAGCTAATCCTCTGTTTGGTTACCCAAAAATACAGAGTCCCAACTCGGTTTTCCTAAATCACGTGCATTTGAGTTCAAAATTCATACCTCGGTTTCTCGGAGACAGACATTTCGAAACACTAGCCGGTAATCGCAAATCTCAAGTTCTGGACCGGCAACCAAACGACGCCGTTGATGTTGACGAAGCACCGATTTCAGCCTCGAAGCTTAAGACGACAGTGTGGCCTGAGGTACGAAAGAGATAACGACGCTCTCGTCAACGTCGTCTACGTGAAAGCCATTCCGACAACGGTCAGTGAAAAGCTCGGCAAATGCAATGAAATGGGAAGCTGCAACGACGCCGTGACCGTGTTGGCGGCCCGACGACGACGGAAATGACGAGACTGCGGCAGAGAAAATGGCGTTTAGGATTTTAGAGAGGGAGAGAGAGTGGAGTTTTA